TTTAAACTCCATTTCATTTCATTTCATTTATTAACAAAATAATCACTACGAAATATAACTAATTTGAATTGTGTTTAATTTTTTTTAGGACAGAGTGTATCAGCGCCCCCTAGATCGTCCATCTTAAAATGTTATCAATGTGATGATCCAGAAGATGTAGAAGATTGTACATTTGAAGAAGATTTTTGTTTTAAAAATCATGTAAGTTGCCAGAAAATAATATTATTTATTTATTGATGCCTTGTTGGTTTGAACAGTTTTATTTATTAAAGATACATTATGGGAGATTAGATAAAGAGCTGGCAGTTCTCACTATAATAGTTAAAAACTAAATAATGTAAAGGCTGGCAGTTGTCACTATAATAGTTAATAGCCAGATAATGTAAAGAATTTGATGAGAATTTCAATCAAATTGATCCACTCTGAACCGAGAATTTACCGATTGAATTTTGGGCCTTGCCTCGATCATCATTACTTAAGTCGGTACGATAAAAAACATAGTCTCTATTATTTCAATTCATGATTAAATCATGAATGAAAGTTGAGCAGCAAATTCGATCCTAATCCAGTAAATAACGCAGGCTAGCGATGACATTGAGAGTTGATTATGGTCTTGGTAATTTATTTAATGTCCAATTAATAGTTTAGATAACATTTGAGACCTAAAGAAAGACCTGCAATGGGCAGATTTAGCTCTTGCATAATGTATGTTTAAACAGATGATTAGTGTTTACAATTGATCATTTTGATAATCTGATACAGTAAGAAGCAAGCATGCTTATATAAACTGTTCAAGTGCCTTAATCGGCATCATGTTTGCTAAACATGTGAATAATAACGTAAATTATATGGACAGAGTGTGAGCTTTCCGTAGAATGGTTAAATTCTTCAAGGAAGACAGAATAGCATTTCTGTTTCACCCCTCACCCACCCACCGCCACCTCGCCCTGCATTTCATAACCCAATTTGGGAGGTTGGATGGCCGAATGGTTAGCACGTGCGCGCTGTATCATAAGGCCTGTCATTGAGTCAACTGGCGTGATTAGGAGTAGGGTCGCCTGTCCAACCTCGTGGGTTTTCTCCGGGTCCTCCGGTTTCCTCTTGTGTTTTCTCCGGGTCCTCCGGTTTCCTCCCACTGCTAAAGGAACCTACGCGCAAGCGAATTAATGAAATAAAATTAAACCATATGTTAGTCCCGAAATGACCTAGTTTGTGTCGAGTGGACGTTAAACCCCATTTCTCTCTCTCTTTCTCTCTCATAACCCAATTTCATGTCCCAATTTTGATAGTTGGCATTTTCATATCGATGTTGATTAATTCTATGGTTTCATTACAGGTATGTTATTCAACGGTCCAAAAACAAGATGGTGAATTACACCATCATCTGGGGTGTATGGACCAAACGGTACGTAGAAAATATTTACTACTATATGCTAGGTTCAAATCGTGGTTTTAATCGTGGTGATCCTATCAGGTTCCCCCTATCACGGTTCGTGCTACGATTGAAATCGTGGTTTTAATTGTGGGGTAATCGTGGTGACCCTATCAGGTCTTATCATATATTGTTGTCAGTCGTAGCAATCTGTTGATCGTATCAAAACGCACCCGAATGTATCTACACGTACCAGATCGTGGACTCAATAGGTACAATCCTATCGTAACGAGCGTAACGCATCGCATGACAGCGGGGACCTAGCATAAGAGTTTAAAAAATGTTTTGAGCTGTGAGTGTTCTATTCACCTGAATATATACACATAATAACTCAAGACATTCGAATAAAACACAGATCCTATTTCCTTTCATTTTTTGTGAGGAATTAGCCAATGAAACTGTCTGTAACGGCGAGTTTTTGACGTGAGGTGCACGGAACTGTGGGTAACCCAATAGAAACATTAACATTGATTGGTTAATCAAATGTCTAACGCCATAGGGTCAAAAGCGGCTCGTATGTCCCTGGTCAGACCTTATGTAGTAGAGGTCATCGAAAGTATAAACTGGGCTAATGAAGACGGGCATATGAGGTACTATGGCCTACTCTTATATCGAATTGCTACTGCCAAGGGATATTTTACGTGCATGCCAATGTATACACGTGACCTCGGTTTTTCGTCCCATGCGATCAACTAGACACCTGTCCTTGTCAGGCCCTCCGCCCTGCACCACTGACACGGGGATACCACGTCGGAAAATACAGAGGAACTTTCTCGGCCAATGCAGGGGTCGAACACGCGACCTCAAGACTAGCGAGCCAGCGTCTTACCTACTTAGCCACCGTGGCTCCCTGGAAAGTATTAGAAAAATCTAAACAAACTATAGATCTGTATTTTAATCGGATTGGTTTTAATCCAGATTTCAATTTTTAGAAATGTTGAATCCCAGTGGCCGAGTGGTGTTTGTAAATCCAAAGAGAAAATCTAACTGCTCTAGCACATGGGAGAGAGAGAGAAATGGGGTTTAACGTCCACTCGACACAAACTAGGTGTTCTAAGGAGTGCTGTAAAATTGACGGACAATGTATATCTATTTTTTTATGGTCGACAATTTTATCAAAGGGGGGGGGGGGGGACTTTTTGCAGGAGGGGGTGGGGGGCGACCTCGAACTATTCCGTAAATCATAACTTATAAATAATGCCACGTTTGCTATAAAAAGGAAATTCAAATATTGTATATTTTTCTACGATATCACTTCGGTGGAAGTGACCAGAAAGAACGAGGCTAGACCATATAAATATTTCTGTGGGCTAGACATATTCCACAACTCATGTCAAACGGTGACGCCATATCTTATCTGGAGAGCATGCGCAATAGACTGGAATAACCAGACGCTAGAAATTGCCATTCGGTTGAGACACATGCCGTATTCGCTGGACATAACTGATTTGAAATTAGAGTCAAAACGGAAACAATTGAATGTAAATCAGATTATATACAATCATATTACATTATTATATGCGTTCCGACCCATTTGGGTCAATTTCTAGGTCCCAAATATTAGCGATTTACCTCCTTTAAATAAAGCTATTTTACACACACGATTGTATTGTTTATGTATTTACAGGTCTGCAACAATATGGCGCAGAACAACACTGAGAGATGTTTGACAGGAAGCTTTGAAGAAGGCGATCAATGTTCGTATTGCTGCTCAAAGGACCTGTGTAATCTGGATACACTCATAATGGACGGTAATATGGCTAAATCTATTTGTTAAGGCCAGCTCAATTTTTGTCAAGGTCGCTGAGATGTAAATAATGTTAGGGCGCGTGATTGTTGGCGAGATTTGTAGGTTAGGTTTAAGAATTTGGTGGAGAGTTTGAATCTCTATATAAGCACTTTTGGTTTTTGAAGGAATTATTCGTGAGCAGAAATTCGCCCGTGTATCTGTTATCACTCGTCACCTCAGTTAGTCATATAGAAGGATAACTCGTGTTTTCCTTTTGCGTTCGTCACTTCCCTTCATAACGCATCTATCGTAGCAGTGATCTCTGTGTTAAAATTATATTTGGAACGTGTTTAACCAATTCTATCACATATGTGATAATGACTGACACCAATATTGTCCTTTAAGAAATACAAGTCTCCCCTGCATCATCAATAAAACATCTCTAATATGAATGATGTTTCGGGCATTATTGATAATTATATCCGAAAATATATTGCAGATGTGCCACAAAACAGGAAAGCAAATGATTTACCTCCTCCTGGGCCTGGAAAAGATCATCCTGATCCAAAAGGTCCCAGTTCAAAAGGACATCCCGATCCAAAGAACGCAAAAGAAAAACCAAATTCCAAAGGCCACCCTGATCCAAAGAACACAAAAGAACATCCCAATTCCAAAGGTCATCCTGATCCTCTTGGGCATCCCGATCCGAAAAACACAAAAGAACGCCCTGGTTCCAAAGGTCATCCCGACCCAAAGAACACTAAAGAACACCCTGATTCCAAAGGTCATCCTGATCCAAAAAATACGAAAGAACATCCTGATTCCAAAGATCATCCTGATCCAAAGAACACGAAAGAACACCCTGATTCCAAAGGTCACCCAGATCCAAAGAACACGAAAGAACACCCTACTTCCAAAGGTCATCCAGATCCAAAGAACACTAAAGAACACCCTGATTCCAAAGGTCATCCAGATCCAAAGAACACGAAAGAACACCCTACTTCCAAAGGTCATCCAGATCCAAAGAACACTAAAGAACATCCTGATTCCAAAGGTTATCCTGATCCAAAGAACACGAAAGAACATCCTGATTCCAAAGGTCATCCTGATCCAAAGAACACGAAAGAACACCCTGATTCCAAAGGTCATCCCGACCCAAAGAACACTAAAGAACACCCCGAATCCAAAGGTCATCCTGATCCAAAGAACACGAAAGAACACCCTGATTCTAAAGGTCATCCTGATCCAAAGAACACGAAAGAACACCCTGATTCCAAAGGTCATCCTGATCCAAAGAACACGAAAGAACATCCTGATTCCAAAGGTCATCCTGATCCAAAAAATACGAAAGAACATCCTGATTCCAAAGGCCATCCCGATCCAAAGAACACTAAAGAACACCCAGACTCAAAAGGCCACCCAGATTCAAAGGTACATATTGATACAACGAATGCAACAGATACTAATCAGACTGAGTACGGAAAAGATGGTAAGAATTCCAAAGAAAAGGACAGTAAATCGAAAGAAAAAGATAGCAAATCGAATGAAAAAGACAGCAAGTCCAAAGAAAAGGATAGCAAATCCAAAGAAAAGGACAGCAAATCCAAAGAAAAACCATGTAAACCCGGATGTAGTGGTCAGCATAAACCAGGCGAGTCTTGTAAACCGGATAAGCCAGGGAAGCCAGATAAACCAGATTGTGGAAAACCCGACTGCGACAAACCAGATAAACCGGACAAGCCAGACAAACCTGACAAGCCAGATAAACCTGACAAACCCGACAAGCCTGGATGCGGAAGACCAGATTGTGGAAAACCAGATAAACCCGACAAACCAGACAAGCCGGACAAACCTGATTGTGGTAATCCCGATAGACCCGGACAACCTGATTGTGGTCAACCAGATAAACCCGACAAACCAGACAAGCCAGACAAACCAGACAAGCCAGACAGGCCGGACAAACCTGGTTGTGGTAATCCAGATAGGCCCGGACAACCCGATTGTGGTCAACCAGATAAACCCGACAAGCCAGACAAACCAGATAAACCTGACAAGCCAGATAAACCAGACAAGCCAGACAGACCGGACAAACCTGATTGTGGTAATCCAGATAGGCCCGGACAACCCGATTGTGGTCAACCAGACAAGCCAGACAAACCCGACAAGCCAGACAAACCCGATAAACCGGACAAACCTGGCTGTGGAAAACCAGATTGTGGAAAACCGGATAAGCCAGACAAACCTGACAGACCCGATAAACCCGACAAGCCCGACAAACCCGATAAACCCGACAAGCCAGACCGACCTGACAAACCCGACAAGCCAGACAGACCAGATAAACCCGACAAGCCAGACCGACCTGATAAACCAGGATGTGGAAGTGGTTGTGGATGTAGTAGTTGTGGATGTTGTAATAATGTAGCCATACCACCAATTGATATAACTATAAAACTCAGTATCAACCTTGGTGGACAGGAAGGGGCAAACTGTCCATACCATAAACTAGCTGAAGCATTGGGAATTGTGAAGAGCGAAGAGAGTCATAAAGCTTGGCATGAATATATATCTTCTACTACTAATGGTAAGTGCTTTCTTTAATTGAGGGGGTGGGGTGGCATGAATATATCTCTTCTACTACTAATGGTAAGTGCTTTCTGTAATTAAAGGGGTGGATGGGGGTGGGGTTGGCATGAGTATATCTCATCTACTACTAATGGTAAATGCTTTCTGTAAATGAAGGGGTGGGGTGGGGGTAGGGTTGCATGAATATATCTCTTTTACTACTAATGGTAAGTCCTTTCTGTAATTGAGGGGGTGGGGTGGGGTGGCATACCTACTTTGTGTCAAATGGACGTTACACCCCATTTCTCTCTATCTTTGTCTATATTTGTTTTATTGATAGAGTTATAACAGTGTTGTATAGTTATAGAATATGTTTAATTTGTCTATATTTATTTTATTGATAGAGTTATAACAGTGTTGTATAGTTATAGAATATGTTTAATTTGTAGTGAATGGAACCTCTGTGTCTATTAGTACTAACGACAAGAACGCCACCATAGTTCTACCAAATAACCAAATCAACTCTACACTACCTCCTGTTAATAAAACAATGTCTCCAACAACATCGATGCCATCAACAACTCCAACACCATCACCAAAAACACGGGCCCCGTCCACCGTTATGCCAAAAGCATCCACACCTAAACCTTCACCATCAGCGACACGGTCTCCGACCACACCTAAGCCAGCGACATCGTCTCCGACTACATCGAAGCCCGCAACTACAGTACCAACAACACCAGAGGCCACAACAAAAGAGGGTATGTTCTCCATGTAAATATGTTGAGGATAGTGCTCACATGGTCGTAATACCCTCTGTCGCAAACTGATCTGGGATGTTATCAATCTGATTAAAACACGGACCCTATTTCGTTTCGTTTTTTATAGTTCAAAATTTTGTTTTACTTGTCTTTACTACACTAGGATCTGGAGGAGTTGTTATATAACCCGCGTTCTGGATGATGTAAGGGATTAGCAAATGAAACGGTCTGTTACGACGAGTTCTTGACGTTCGTTGCACGGAACTGTGGGTAACCCAGTACAAACATCATCGCTGATTGATTAATCAATGTCTGAAGTAATAGGGTCGAAAGTCGCTCGTATGACCCCTGACACGACCTTCAACTACAACAAGTCAGATCTTTATAATAGTGCAGGCCATCGAAAATATAAAAAAACGAAGCGAAATATAGATGTGTATTTTAATCCGATTGGGGTCTTATCATTGACTCCGTTTCTTACAGCTAATAATGTATCTGTATTATCAATTCATAATTTTCGTTAAGAGCCTTGGTGGCTCAGTGTGTATGGTGCTGGCTCGCTAACATGGAGGTCCCGGATTTGATACCAGTGTCGCCCACAAAAGTTCCTCGGAATTTTCCGGCTATGTTCCCTTTGTCAGGAAAAAGAGATATTATAGCGTTGAGTTTTTCGGATTGTGCGAAAACCCGTGATCTTCTGTATACATTGGTGTGGGTCGTAGCATCGTTGTCTGGGCAAAATATCACTCATAGCACACTACATGGCGTATGCCCGACTTCAATAGCCCAGTCGGAGCAGAGCAGTATTCGCAGGCCTAAAGTAAATTGATATCAAATGAAATTAATATATCTTTAATAGTCCACATAGAGTTGACCAGAGATAGAAATTATTCTTTCATTTTTTTAAACATTATGTACAGAGTTCCCGGCAATGACAGTGTCTAATTATTCGGAGAGTACCAAACACAGAGGTTCCGTGTTAACATAGGCGTGCACGTAAAATGACCCATGACAAAATTCGGAATAAGAGTAAGCTGTAGCGCCGCTGTCCGGGCAATATTTCACCCATAGCACACTGTATGACGTATAGTCATCATTAGCCCAGTCGGACGTTAAGCCCCATTTCATTTCATTTTCTCTGGTTATGCTTAAGGTACTTGAAGGTAATTTTAACTAAATTTGTTTGTAGGTTTTTCTTGTAGTGTATGTAAAGATGCTAGTTGTTTAGAACAAACTACCTCGGTTTGTGATGATGATGCTAACTATTGTCAAACTACCATAGTACAAGATGCAGCAGGGCATAGAAATATAACCAAGGGGTAAGACATCCAAGTTATTGAATCCATATTATTGAATTTTGAAAAGATTGTGATTTTTTTTTGTTGTGGTCTTCCCGTTTAGACTATGAGTTTTGGTGGGTATAGTACACGAGACCGACTATCGAACTATGCTCCTGTTTTTAGAACATATGTTATTGAATTGTGATTGTGATTGTTTTTGGTGTGGTCTTCTCGTTTAGACTATGAGTTGTAGTGGGTGTAGTACACGAGACGGACTATGCTCCTCTTTTTAGAACACATGATATTACTTAGACTTTTTGAAATATTTTACTATAGTTATGTTTCATACACATGATTCTAAATGACAATGCCGCTATAAGTGTCTTGTATAGACAACACAGATAAATCCTAAATATATATGATAATCGCAAAGTAATGTCAAATAGTGTAATTGAAATCAAAACCCAATCAAGGCGAGTTTGCTTATATCAGACCTAATATCACGTACGTTTCTAACCATTCACCTAACTGGTTTTCCCTTATCAGTGGTGCAGGACGGATTGCCTGACAAGAACAGCTGTCTAGTCTTTCCGATGGGACAAAAAAAAACGAGATCCCGTGTATACATTGGCATGCATGCAAAAGATCCCTTGGCAATTGGAATTCTATATAAGAGTAGGCCATAGTGATTCTGTCCGGGCCGGGCAAAATTCCCCTCATAGCACACTTTATGGCGTATGCCCGTCTTCATTAGCCCAGTCGGAGCAGAACAGTAGGACGTTAAACCCCATTTTATTTCATTTCATTTACCTCACGAGAAGCCAATGCTAACTATAGATGTAGAATGCCTGATGATACAATTTATTGCGTGATTCATCATAGCTAATATGTTTTTATGGAGTATGGGGGTATTAACATGGCCAGTTGTTTTTGTCTAAATCGAATTTTCTTACAATCAGTGGTAACCGAGAGATATTTTACTTTCAGATGCGCCAAGGAGACAATATGTATATCGGAATGGTGGACGAAGACTGCAGGACAAAATGATTGTTTCTTCATGAGTGATTCTTCGTCAGGACCACCAAATAAACCATTGTATTGTTCCTTCTGTTGTGTGGAGAGTCATTGTAACAAAGGATTTATGCCTGATTTTAGTAAACTATACTCAAAAAACAAATAATAATACAATTATAAGATGATTTATTTTTTTTTATTCAAATAAAGAAACATTGTATTGTTTTGTGTCATTGATAATAATACAAATGTTCTTGGTACCTGGAGAAACGTGGCTCGCTAGCCTGGAGGTGGCGTGTTCGATCCCTGCAATTGTCGAGAAAGTTCATTGGGATTTTCCGACGTGGTTTCCCCTTGTCATTGGTGCAGGAGGAGGACCCTGGCAAGGAGGGCCGTCTAGTCATGGGATGGGATGAAGAAGGGTGGTCCCGTGTATACATTAGAATGCACGTAAAAGATCCCTTGGCAGTTGGAATTCGATATAAGAGTAGGCGATAGTGCCGCTGCCCGGGCAAAATTCCCCTCATAGCACACTGTATGGCGTATGCCCGTCTTCACTTACCCAATTCGGAGCAGAACAGTAGGACGTTAAACCCTATTTCAATAGTATTTCTCATCTAAGATTTGCCTGCCTTGAATCCCAATGTGGATCATGTTGAGATTAGTTAAGTCCGGGTCTCACCTGTCAAAGATGGAGCCTAGTCCTTCGCATGGGAAGACAATCCTACCTCTGTCCGGGGGGGGGGGTGACCGAATGATTAACGCGTGTGCGTTGCATAATAAGGTCTGTCATTGAGTTAAGTGGCATGGTTTCGACTTCCCGCTTGTACTTGACAAGGAGTAGGGTCGCCTGTTCAACCATCGCCCAAAGGCGTTTCCAAAACCAGTCGGATTAAAAAGCACATATTGTATTTCCCTTCAAAAAATATTTTTATTAAACATACATTATGCAAGAGCTAAATCTACCTATTGCAAGTCTTTCTTTAGGCCTGAAATGTTATCTAAATTATTAATTAGACATTAATTAACTCATCCAGACTATAATCAACTTTCAATGCCATTAATTAGTTTCTCCAGACAAACTGTGGATGCGACCGTTAGTCTGTGATATTTAGTGGATCTGAATGCATTAAATAATGGATACTTTAATGTAAAAATGGATAATCGAGAATTGGTTTATTATCGCATCAAAGTTAATAATGACGTTCGAGGCTAGTCTAAAATTGAATCGTTAATATCTCGGTTCAGAGTAAAGCAATAGAGAAAAATGAAATAAAATGAAATGGGGTTTAACGTCCTACTGTTCTGCTCCTAACCTGGGCTAATGAAGACGGGCATACGCCATACAGTGTGCTATGAGGGAAATTTTGCCCGGACAGCGGCACTACGGCCTACTCTTATATCGAATTCCAACTGCCAAGGGATCTTTTACGTGCACGCCAATGTGTACACGGGACCTCGGTTTTTCGTCCCATCCGAACGACTAGACAGCTTTCCTTGTCAGCCCCTCCGTCCTGCATCACTGACAAGGGAGAACCACGCCGGAAAATCTGGATGAACTTTCTCGGCCAATGCAGGGATCGAACACCCGACCTCCAGGCTAGCGAGCTAGCGTCTTACCCACTTAGCCACGTGATCCCCTAGCAATAGAGAGAACTGCCAGCTCTTTAGCTAATCTTACATAATACCCATTTAAACAAACAATCATATAATGATAATTTCATATCTGCATTTTAATCGGGTGGCCTAGCTGGTGGTTTTAAAAGTGTACCATAGATTAAAAGCTCTTTCAGTAATGCCGTTGTCGTTTCAATTCCAAGCTTGTATGTGAGAAAAGAGTCGGGTCGTCCGCCGAGCTGCCTTCATTGAAATTATCTGATTATTGTCCCATGACTGTTAGAACATTTTGTATTTCGACAAGAGGGTCCATTATGGTTAAATTGTTCTTGATTTGAAATTATTCGCCAAGAGCCAGAAAAGGACAAATCAACGGTAGTCTGATCCGATGTAAATTAACAGGAATGCATGAGTTGTCTTTCTTACTACGTTCTCTAAATAAAAAGTCCTAAAGAGTTATGTCACGAGAAATAGTAATGATCGTCCAGTACTATTTAACGTTGTGTATATCTAATTTTGTGAGACTGGATAAACCCGATGTTTAGCAGATGATAAAAATGGAGGAAAAAGCGGAAGAAAACCAGGAAAATGTTGCAGGAAATGGGGATGAAGTGGAAAGGACGGTGGAACAGCTGCTTGCAGAAGTTGCAATCGATTACAGAACCTATCTAAACTTTGATATTTCTAAAGAAGTAGGTGAAAGGTTTCATTTTAGCATGATCCTGTAGACATAGTATTAGTAAACTGCTTTTTAGAATGACATTTTTGTAGAACTGAAACTAATTAAATAATTATAAAAAAGACGCCTACAAGATGGGTCTAGAGCATTGATAAGATGTCATACCATGGAGTAAATCACCATGGCAATAAATAGCCTACTAGGCCTATAATTCAGAATTCCATGCACTATACTCTGGCACTATCACTAGTAGTATTAGTCATTGAGATCCTAATTAGTAACTTTATTTTTCATTACAGCAAGGTAAATATTATGAAAGTATTGAAGGAATGCTGACAAAACTTGATGAGTTTTGTGGATTAGTTGATTTGGTAAGTTTCATTAAAACAGTATTGTGCTACTGGTCACCTAGGATGCATTCCATGTTATTCCCACGCAGGACATCCTATGAGACCTTTCTGTTAATATGCCGGCGGAGTTCCCCCTTGTCAGTGATGCAGGACGGAGGGCCTGATAAGGACAGCTGTCTAGTCGTTCGGATGGGACGAAAAACCGAGGTCCCGTGTACACATTGGCGTGCACGTAAAAGATCCCTTGATAGTTTGAATTCAATATAACAGTAGTCTGTAGTTCTGCTGTCTAGGCAAAATTTCCCTCATAGCACACTGTATGACGTATGCAGGTATGACGTAAGAAGTTAAACCCCTTTTCATTTCATCTCATTTGTTAATATGCTGAGTAGGGCTGTGTATAGTTCAGCTTTGAACTTAGGTCTCATTGACATTACACTCGCCTTGTACATTCAGGAACTGCCCTATTGCATCCTTGTTGTCCCCCGGTCAATTTTACCGGGCAACTTTTTATGGCTAAACCATGGTGTGTCAGTCCCTGTAAACACCTATACAATGTAAAGGAACAATTTAGTGAGAAAATAAGGCCTTGCTTACCGTGCTAGAGTCAGTATGTGCGACACAATGTTGGCGTTGACAGAAAAGATCCCTTGGCAGTCAGAATTCAATATGCCTGTCTTCATTAGCCCAGTAAGAGCAGATGAGTAGGACGTTTTAAACCCCATTTCATTACATTTTATTGAAATATTTTTATTTACAGATTCGTAGTGATACAAATCTGTGTTTAAATACAACTCTACCAAGAATTCATGAAAAAAGCAGTGAAATTAGAAATATATTTGAGAAAATAGATAATTTAGAGGTGAGTACAATACAGATAGTATTTCAAACATATCAAGACTTACAATAGTTTTCTTTTTATTTGATGGGGGGTTGGATGGCCGAAAGGTTAGCATGTGTGCGTTGTATTATAAGGGCTGTCATTAAGTCACCTGGCCGGATTTCGATTCCCCAGTTGGACAAGGAGTAGGGTCACATGTCCAACCTCGTGGGTTTTCTACGGGTCCGCCGGTTTCCTGCTACTGCTAAAGACCCCTACTCGCAAGTGAATTATTGAAATAAAATTGAATAATCTGACATCAAACTTTGTGTGTACTCTCCGGATCCTCCTACAGCTAAAGACAACTACGTGCAATTATTGAAATAAAATTATAAAATTAAACCCGAAAAGACATAGTTTGTGTCCAAAGGACGCTTACCCCCTCTCTCTCTCTCCCTCTCTCTCTCTCTCTCTCTCAAATTACTAGGTTAGCACCTGCTGTTTTTCAGAAATTTGTGGGGATTGTAAAACAGAATGTTAATATGATGGAAGAAAAAGTGAATGACGCAGAAAAAGAAGTTGGTGGTTCATTTGGTTCTGGAATCATGAAGAAACTTTCTTCCATTGTTGGTTCCGTAAGTACTAAAGATATGTTCTATCGAGCATAATTAGTTCTTATCCTAACCCTAATGCGTCTACAAGGGGTATTTTGGGACCCCACAACCATATCCTTAACATTTGTGGGGAACTGGTTCATAATTGTCAAGCGAGAATTTTATACATTGTCAATTACCTAACGTCGAGTATAATGCTGCAAATAGAGTGGAAGTGAGGCAGTGGCAACATTCTAATTATTGATTAGACATTTATTAACTTATCCAGACCATAATCAACTCTCGATGTCATCACTAGCCTGCGATATTTACTGGATTTGAATCCGATCTGACGCTCATTCATGATCAAATCAAGAAATGGATAATCGAGACTATGTTTTTTTTATCGTACCAACGTTAGCAATGATGATTGGGGCAAGGCCCAAAATTCATTCGCTAAATTCTCTGTTCAGAGTGGATCAATTTGACTGAAATTTTCAGCAAATTCCCTTTACATTATCTAGTTTTTAACTATTTTAGTTAGAACTGCCAGCTCTTTATCTACTCTCCCATAATGTATCTTTAACCAAAATAAAGCAAGGGAGATAACTACATTTATACTTGAGCATTGTTCGATTGATGAAAATAGTTTGGTTTTAGATTAGCTCTTAATTTTACTCAAGTTATGATTTAATAGAAAAATCAAGGAAAAATTTCAATCAAGAGACCATTCATTAAAGGGATTTTTGATTTTTTTATATTTTAGAAAAAGAATGTAGAAAAGAAGAAATACGTTTATGAAGAACCAGTCATTTTTAATACAGATGATTATTTCCCTCAACATTTGGATTCAGACCAGTCAAAAAATACAGTTGACCCTCCAGTAGTTAGTAGTACAGCATCATCTTTAGACAAGACGTAACCTTTGACCTGGGATTTTTTTAAGCTTACCTATTTATTATGTCTTTCAGTCATTAACCCATTGTACCCGATAGCGAATCATTAACCCATTGTACCCGATAGCGAATCAGTACGTACCCTTGCATTAGCCGATAGCGAATCATTACCCTTTCATAGCCGATGGCGAATAATAGCGCGACAAATCATTCTTGACATCAGTATTAGCGAACAAAAGCGCGAGATCAATCAATTGTTTATTTATTTATTTACTTCTTAAATTAATACTGATTGGGTGATAAAATTAAACCATCCAATAATAAGGAATATTATATTCGCTAATTGTCCAATAGAAATGAATTGTTTTAACAAAGGATCACCGAGAATTTTCGTAATAGGTCAGAGGTGAGAATTCTCACCGTGTCGGCGACTTTGGCACCATTCCAACATTATTAAGACATAACTTATGGCTGATAATTCTATGATATGGAGATTGATATGGAATCAGAATATTTATTATTTACTGCCATATAGTGGAATATGATAATGTCGAAGAAATAAACTATTTATTTTTATTTTTGATGTTATCAAGTGAAGAATATGAATACTCCAGCTGCGATCAAGTTTGTTTGCCGCCATCTTGTACATGCTTTCAGTCTTACAGATATACAGCAAAACTTACAGCTAATAATTCTAGAATAAGGAAGGCTAAATTGAATCAAAACTTTTAGGATTTAATACAAACTACATAGAGAAATATTACATTGTTGAAGGTTTCAAAAATATATTTTTATTTTTGACGGCATGAGGCAAAGAAAACAACAATTCCCGCGAAATATCCAAAGGCAGAAATGTCGATAGTGATGAAGTGATGGTCAATTGGTTCAATATTTATTTTTAAAAGTTATATACATGCATTTACTTCGAACACTGAACATTAATTGGCTTAGGGAGATGGGCCCTGTTGATTTATTGAATTCTAGGGATAGGTTAGCTAATCTGTTAATTGGCTCTAGGGTACAATGGGTAGCTGGGGGGTTGGATGGCTGAATGGTTAGCGTGCGCGCGCTGTATCATAAAGTCTTGTCATTGAGTCGACTGGCGTGGTTTCGAATTCCTGGTTGTACGTGGCAAGAAGTAGGGTCGCCTGTCCAACCTTGTGGGTTTTCTCCAGGTCCTCCGGTTTCCTCCCACTGCTAAAGACCCCTACACGTAAGTGAATTATGTAAATAAAATTAAACCATATGTTAGTCCCGAAATGACCTAGTTTGTGTCGAGTGGACGTTAAACCCATTTCTCTCTCTCTCTCTCTCTCTCTCTCTCACAATGGGTAACTAATCTGTTAATTGACTTTAGGGTACAATGGGTTAAACATATATCATATAATCATATTGTCAGGGCTGATAATAACTTAGTCTTCAGTCTCCAACACAGATTCGATTGGATTTTAAAAGTTTTCCCATCAAAATGCCACCTAAATCTGGATTTGGAGACTAGAATAAACATAATGATCAAGAATAACGTGTTTTTTTAGTCTGTAAAATAGTTGGGTACGAAAATGGCCATGATTTAGGAGCTTAGATAATTAACTCATATTAATTTGATAACTTTAAAATTTTAACAGTTAAAGGAAATTCTGACTGGCTGTCAGCCCTGATCATTATGTTCATTATTAATTGATTTTATAAGTTTTTAATTGTAAAATACGACCCATCCCATTGAAATGAGTAGGAAGTAGTAATTTGGCCATATTGAGTTATGCAAATAATCACATTCCTTCTGTTCCAAGCTTTGTTTTGGTACCATTCTGTCATGTTCGTGTTAGAAGTTACAGAAAATTAAAGTTTTTGACTGAAATTCAGCCATTTTTTGGGGGTATTGTTCACAAATCGTGGTTACAAACATCTATAGGATTATATTTTCATCAAATCCATTCTTGGAATATTTGGGTATTTATGAAGCATTTTTTGTGGAGATCTAAGAGTCGACCAAATTTTACATACAAGCACAAAACAGGCCTATGCACCTTTCTACCTGTTTGGATGTGATGGGGAGGCTATCAGATCAGTGGACTCATTCCATTCATATTTGCGAGGTTTTAACTGACCAACAGTGTAAATAACTGGCTGGAGAATTTATCTGTCAGTCATTTTAAGCTTAAAGATGCATCATTATTTAAGAGTTCAATCGGCTTATTGCAGGTTTTTTATTTTGGCTTCAATGTTATATAAACTATTATTTAGACATTTATTCACATTACAAGCCTATAATCATCGGATGGCAGAGATTTAAACAGATTAAAATACTCATAATAACATAACGTTGTGAATTTATTACTTCTTGGTTTATTACATACAACGTTTCAGCAATCTTACAGGTATCTTTATCAAGCAATGTTAGAGAGTTTTCACAACTTTACATTTAGAGAAGCGAAAGTGTAACTGTACATTATGATGTTTCGCTAAATTCACACTTAGTAGGTGGCGACACAAACTTGGTCCACGATCTCGAAAAGCCTTCATCACGGATAGATTGTTAAAGATGAGATTAGTAAAGCATGTACATTTTTTGTCTCAGCCTCTTCTTGTTTTATATACAAGAAGGAGAAGGTCTTCTCTCTGTGGATTTAGTTTGTGAAAACCACAATTCAGAGAAATATTATAGACTGGAGCATAGATATTAAACAAGGTTTAGCTAAGTGTTGTGAACTTACAGTTATGGAGGCTGCTATCCGTAAATTACACTTTTATGACGTGCATTTCACGTCATACGTCACAAAAACTGATGACCTTTAACCGTCCAAGTGTAAATGTAAAGTTGCAAAACCTCTTTAATAAACTATAAAGAAGTAAATCTATATATGTTATACCTCTAAATATCATTCAAGAATAAGGTTGATCGCCATTTAATTATTTCAAGGCTTTTTAGACTTACAAGGTAATAAATACTGTTATTTGTTTTGTTTTTGATTTTTTATGCGTAAAAACATTTATAAATATATTGTAAAAAAGTGGATTGTATTAACATATATCTTGCTAATTTGATGTAAACAAAATTAAAAAAAAACCGATAGTATCTTATATCACTGAATGTTTATTATATGTCATCTTATTATCTATATCAATCTTATTAAAATACCCGGTGGGGGGAAGGGATGGATGGCCGAATGATTAGCGTGTATCATAAGGTCTGTCATTGAGTCAACTGGTGTTGTTTCGAATTTCCTTTTGTACGTGACAAGGAGTAGGGTTAGCTGTCCAACCTCTTGGTTTTCTTCGAGTCATCTGGTTTCCTCCCACTGCTAAATACCCCTACAAGCAATCCGCAATCGAATTATGGAAATAAAATTGAATCATGTGTTAATCCCGAAATGACCTGGTTTGTGTCAAGTGGACGTTAAACTCTCTCTCTCTGATTACAATACAGATCTATATTTCATTTCCTTTTATACTTTCGTTGGCCTCTACTACATCTGACTAGTTTAGTAGGTGGTCACGTCAGGGGTCATACGAGCGGGTTTTGACCCTATGACTTCAGACATTTGATTAACCAATCCGCGTTGATCTTTCTTGTGGGATACCCACAAGGGCACAATTGCGTGCATGGCATGCGGAAAACTTACAACAACAGACTGTTTCATTGGCTAATCCCTCACATCAATCAGAATACCGGTTATATAACAACTCTTCCAGATTCTAGTGTAGTAAAGACAAGTAAAACGAAATTTTTAACTATAAAAAAACGAAACGAAATAGAATCTGTGTTATAATCAGATTGTATCTTTGTGATAAACATATTGAATTAATGTAGTCTTGATAAACAAGTCCATTTTACCAATGAAAGTCTTCAACAATTTGTTATAAATTTGATTTCTTGTTGGTGGAGCAAGACCATCCGCAGTCGAAAAAAAATGAGAATTGAAGTGACAGGGAGAGGTTAACATATATGGATGAATTATAGAAATAATCCCACATAACAACATAACGTTAGATTTACGTAAATTTTACGTAAATATGATCAGTTTACCATCACCTTGTCACTATAAGGACTAATTCTTAGATTTACAATGTTTAACCCGACTATTAGTTTTGCGTAGAATTTACGTAAATATGGTCGGTCAAGTTAACCATCACCTTGTCACTGTGAGGACTAATTCTTAGATTTACAATGTTTAACTCGACTATATTGCTGGATATTAGTAGAATGGTTCAGTATAGTGAGAATTCATAATACTCAAATAAATAAATAGTTTTTTTCTTTCATGACAGATGTTAAAATACTCATGTAATCTTTGAATGACATTTCAAGGTTTGAATTTGACTGAAATATGCTTATGGTTCAAACTTCTTAAATTAATATGAAAATAAAATGTTTCAGTCCTCATTCATGCACCATTCTTTTTGGAACATTGAAAATGTCATAAAAAAATGAAGTTAAAAATATGAATCAAATTTTAATAGGATATATTTATTTAAAGTCATAAGCAAGGAAAAACAACATACATTCCTGTACTAAAACATACTGTATTCATTTATATAGAAATCCTTATATGGCATTTAGTAATTGAATATATAATAATAACACACAATTTATATGGAAAACAATCACTGAGTTTAATTTTTTACACTATTTACTTGAGAACAACAAGAGGAACTTGTTGAAACATAGTGTGAAATAAACCCAATGATTGTTTTCCATACAAATTGTGTTTTATTATTTATATATATTAATAACGTCATTTGTTTTCTGTTGATTTCAACGTATCATTAGGATCTGTGACATGTCACATGTTCTGAACTGTCTCATGTCAATAAATCATCTTAGATTTAGATGCTCTGACTGGACTAATAAAGACGGGTATATGCCATACAGTGAGGAACTTTGTTTATTTGTACCATCCGAACGACTATTTGTTGTCCCTTTGTTCTGCTCTGACTGGGCTAATGAAGACAATCATATGCCATACAATGCCCTATGAGGGACTTCGCTAATTTTTTGTACTATCCTAACAACTATACATTGTCCCTTTTGATGTGAAACAGAGAGCAAATATCAACATTGCGTCCCTCGCTAAATGTAGAGATATAGAACATGTTGTAAATGTTGTTACTTAAATACATGTATGTAGGAGATCAGGAAATATGTAGAAATATCAGATATCTGGAAATATTGCTTTGATCCACAATATAAAATATTGTAAAATGTCAATTTATGTATTGCTTTTAATTGAATATGATTATATTTGTATAGCCATTATGGAAGTATGCATTAATTATATATGATTATGTAAATATAATACAGATATAAAGAAATGTAATTGAATTGTTTTACTTGATTATTATATTATGTTGTTGTTCTTAGTTTTAAACGTCCGCTTCCACCAAAGGTGATATCGCAGACAAGTTGTCTTATATTTTCATTTTTTTTTTATTATATTAGCGTAAGCATAGGGGTCTTTCCTTTGGGATGAAACCGGCGTACCTGGAGAAACCAACAAGGTTGAGAAGGCACCCTTATCTCTAAGTCACATACGCTCACACCAGGCATCGAAACCACAGCCGCAAGCCAGCTGTGACCGGTCAGCTAGAGGTCGAAGCGCGACACTCGAGTCTAGACCATTCCAACCCCCTATTATATTATCAAAATGGTTGCCTTATTATATATTGATCCATCGGAATGAAATTCATACATGTGGTGGATGAGGCAGTACAACTAGTCCCTGTAACATTTTTAAACAAATAAACACATACTTTCGAAAATTAAGGGGGCGGAGGGAGGGGTTTGTCCTCGGATATTATAAAAATGCATACACTTCATGGTAACAAAACAGAAATTGTGATGTTTCTTCACATACACAATAGATCTATATGGAGTCTGTCATGTGAGAAAATAACAGAATCTCTCCACCTCTCATACAAAGTCTGATTTGTGTTAAAGTATTGACAACAACTATTAATACAAATGTTTGACAAATGTTTCCATAGTGAACATAGAACGTACTAAAATGCGGTTATCTCCCTTGAGCGGTTCTGTCCTTCATATAATTTATATATATAGTTTGAAATATTGTCGTCACCGATGTATGCACGCACAACATGTATCCGATTAACATTAAATTCTCACAATGTATAGTATCCTTAGATGAAGGGTCCTGTTGACTTTCAACTATTCCCTATAATTACTTATAAAAACTAGATGATGCACCGGAGGCAAACTTTATCATCCTAGCTATTGACTTAAGACTTTCAACGAACGGCTAATTAAAGTTATCATATGTTTACCGGTACATATTTTGTGTATGTCGACGCTTGGAAGAATTATCAAATTTTAATTATTTCGAATAGTAGGCCTACATGTAAATACGCCGCTGATATTTGCATCCGCGGACCTGAAAATACATGAAAATACAGTCGAACATGACAATCAATCTTTTTAAACATTTACCTACAGCTATTTACATTTAATTTATCGTGAATAAAATGTCGTTTACTAAAGTGGTCGAATTTCTGTCAGGTGTTCGCGCGCACACCAGCATGTACACAATGTATATTGTTATTTATCCCCCCATCCGAAGGATTAGACACACTTTCGTGTCAATTCCTCAACTACCCACTTCTCGACCTTTCAATAAACGGGAGAGAGAGAGAGAGAGAGCGAGAGAGAGACCATTCGGTCATTCAACCCCTCTTCAACAAGACAAAATAAACGACAATGATTGATGACCATATTTATTTATCTGACAATATTTACCTGTAATTAACAATGTAAATAAAGATAAATAACCTGTCAATCAGGAATTTAGTCGTGAATTAATTACCGATCATGGGTATTCAAGACGTTTTCTTCCCACGGTCACTCAATATATGGCGTCAGCTCATTAACCAAAAGGGGGTTTGTGACAAAGTACTCCATAACTCGTGACATATTAAGATTATATTGTATACATGTAAAGTATTTATTTAAATGCATACAACCAGTTTGAACACCACATGTGCGCAAGAGAACACAAGAAAAATAGAAACAGTCCGTGCATTCATTTGTGTTTATTCATTCTATACTTATAAAAACATGGTAATGCACGGACTTTTTCTATTTTTCTTTCATGTTCTCTTATCTAGTGACAGTCAATTTTTTTTTATGAATTGTCAGATATTCTTTCATAGTCCCACACAACAACTTTTGGTCTTCGAAGGAATTATTAGTGAGCAGAAATTCGCCCATGTATCCGTTATCACCTGTCACTTCAGTCAGTTATATAGAAGGATACCTCGTGTTTTCCTTTTGCGTTCGTCACTTCCGATTGTTCAAGCATTGATTACGCATCTATCGTAGCAATGATCTCTGTAATAAAATATCACATATGTGATAATGACTGGCACCAATATTGTCCTTTAAATGATATATTACATTTCACCAATTATATAGTCGGAGATCACCTGGGAAATATAACAGATACCTTTAAATAATAAATATGTTGTCATAGTAATATACACGCTCCATCTAATTCATAAATGACCCAATAAAACATTGGACCAATCAACTGAACTGAAGCGTTGCCATAGTTCTCACGAGCAGTTAAGGAAATAGCCATTCACAAATACACTATTATCGTGCCATATTAATGAGTTTACATCAAATGCTAGAGTAATTTTGTGACTAGTCTTAAAATGTTAAAGCAGGTCGTCAAGAGCCAATTACTGTGTGTGCTTCAAATAGCCCGAAGGATTTTCAAGTCAAAAAGTCATGATGAGATCGAATTAATTATTTTTATGAGACCATCGGTTAAAAATGAAACTAGGTTTAAAAGATAATGATTTGATCTCTTCCTGGGGGTCATATTATGTTGATAAGATACATACAATGACTGATTATTAAGGAAATGGTTTTAAACCCCACGGGCCACTTGACTTGACTTCCCCCTTTTACTTTTACTTAATGAACTATTGGGCCCAAGGAGGGATGACTTCGATTGCTATGTTTTAAATATCAGAGTGGAATAGGATGACCTTTTATTTCTATAAGAAGCAGAGAGAGAAAGAGAGAGAGAAAGAAAGAGAGAGATAGAGAAAGAGAGAGATAGAGAGAGGGGATTAACGACGACACGACACAAACTAAGTCGTTTCGGGACTAACATATAGTTCAAGCTTATTTCAATAATTCACTTGCACATGGGGGGTCTTTAACAGTGGGAGGAAACCGGGGGACCAAAAGAAAACCCACGAGGTTGGACAGACGGCCCTAATCCTTGCCACGTACAATCGGGGAATTGAAACCACGCCAGTTGACTCAATGACAGACCTTATGATACAACGCACACGCGCTAACCTTTCGGCCATCCAACCCTCCCCTATTCGTAATGGATCACACCTCAGTTTACTTTAATCAGATCTATATTTCGTTTCGGTTCTTTACAAAGTCAAGTAAAATTTTGAACTATAAAAACGAAACGAAATAGGATCTGTGTTTTGATCAGATTGTTCCCTCAATGTACACAAATGTAATGGGATTTAACGATTTACCTTTCTGCATCAGTGATGTGTGCTAATAGGGACATTTTTCCCGGGCCGTGGCGTGTTCGTCTACTCTTCATCGAATTTCAACTGTCAAGGGATCTTTTACGTGCACGTCAACGAGGTACGCGAGTGAAACACGGTTTTTCGTCTCATGTGGGAGCTACGGTAACTCAGTAAGTAAGACGTTGGCTCGCAAACAATAAGGTCCCGTGTTCGACCCCTGCTTTGGCCGAGAAAGTTGAGAGAGGTTTAACATCCGTTCGACACAAACTAGTTTATTTCGGGACTAACATAAAGTTCAATTTTTATTTTTTAATAATACGCTTAGTAATGAGAGTAAACCGGAGGTTGGACAGGCGACCCTAATCTTTGTCACGTACAACCGGTCAATTGAAACCACACTCCAGTTGACTCAATGATAGGCCTTATGATACATTCCGCCCCCCCCCTCCCCCACCACCACCACGAACAAACAATTGGGAACATTTGGCCAGATGTATTTATTTATTGTGAACATGAAATTAATAAACAAGAGGCGTGAGGTCAATAGTACCACAGAGGGTTAATAACACTAATTGACTCTGTATGTACGTTAACTAAGTTTAGATAAAGTTCATAACCGCCATAAAACTTTGGTCAACAAACAACAAACATCTGTGTTTACCAGTAGAAAAATACTTTTATATCTGACTGTAAAAACAGACGAGGTTGGCTAAAGACTGATGAATTATTGTTAGTAATTAATATGTAAAATACGGTAGAGTTAAAGATCCCTTTATAACATTATATTCATTCCTCCCACTGCTAAAGACCCCTATGCGCAAGGGAATTATTGAAATAAAATTGAACCCCACGTGTTAGTCCCGAAATGACCTAGTTTGTGTAGAGTGGACGTTAACCCCCCCCCTCTCTCTCTCACTCTCTCTCTGTCTCTCTCTCTCTCCTTAAATGTTATCTAAATTATTAATTAGACATTAATTAACTTATTCAGACCTTGATCAACTCTCGATGCCATCGCTATCCTGTGATGTTTAGCGGACTGGAATACAGCCTGTGACATTTAGCAGATGGGAATACATTTTTTGAAAAATAATTAAACGTAAAACTGGATAATCGAGACTTTGTTTTTTTTTATCGTAACGACTTTAGTAATGATGATCGGGGCTAGCCTAAAATTCAAAAGCTAATAATGTATATTTAACTGGTTTCATTTATTCCAACAAACAATGGGGGTTGGATGGCCGAATGGTTAGCACATGCGCGCTGTATCATAAGGCCTGTCACTGAGTCAACTGGCGTGGCTTCGATTCCCCGGTTGTACGCGACAAGGAGTAGGGTCGCCTGTATAATCTCGTGGGTTTTCTCCGGGTCCTCCGGTTTCCTCCCACACTGTTAAAGACCCATATGCGCAAGCGAATTATTGAAGTAAAATTAAACCATATGTTAGTCCCGAAATGACCTAGTTTGTGTCGAGTGGACGTTAAACCCCATTCTCTCTCTCTCTCTCTCTCTCTCTCTCTCTCTCTCTCTCTCTCTCTCCAACCAACAATATGTTTACCTTTAAGCTGTACTGAAATAAACCCAAACCACCTGAAATTCGCAAACAGGTTTTTTACAGAGAGAAAGAGAAAACTACTGTTATATTTACGGATATCCTTCCTTTCATCTTCATTCTGTTTCATGGATGTTCATTTTATATATAAAAGAAAAAAAACTGGTCTCATGAATGACGGATCTTCAATCAAACGGTATTCACGATAGTCGACACGTTTTAAAGGATGTCAGGTTAATTTGATGAGACATGTTTACATCTG